GAAAAATATTTCGAAGGCTATCACTATGCTAAGATCATTCATAGATAACCGTATAAGGAAATATAGCTGACGAATTTTAGTACTAACTAACTCACTAATTCAATACAAACCCTGTATATAACTGAAAATCATGTAAAATCGGCTAATAAGTCGATGGATATCTATCTTTTCATTAGGAATATGAAAAAAGGATTGCTCATAAGTATACAGGGTGTCCCTAGACCAGTGGGACAGTTGAATATCTCCTGAACCAATAGGAATTTTCAAAATATTGTGATTTCACATCATATCGAATTATGAGTGCTAACTTCAGGAATGACTATATTTTATACGAGGGGCGCAAGAAAGGCTCACAAAATCGAACATCGATTTTTTCAAATGGAACACCCTGTATTTCATTGCATTTTCATATTCTCCTCGATGAGCTGAATTCAACGACCTAGCACACTTGGGGTCTAGCGGAAATGATTTCCGAGATATAGGGTGTGGAAAATCGAGATTTTTAATTTTTGGGGAATTTTTTGTGACAAAACTATTCATTATTGGTCAAAACTGAAAACATGTCCAGATCTTAACTTTTGATTTACTATTTACTAGTATTTAATTGAAACAAATACAAGGTGGTGTAGAATTCTGACTGAAACTGACGATTCTACACCACCCTGTATTTGTTTCAATTAAATACTAGTGAATAGTAAATCAAAAGTTAAGATCTGGACATGTAATCCGTTTTGACCAATAATGAATAGTTTTGACACAAAAAATTCCCAGAAATGAAAAATCCCGATTTTCCACACCCTATATCTCGGAAATCATTCCCGCTAGACCCCAAGTGTTCTAGGTCGTTGAACTCAGCTCATCAAGGAGAATATGAAAATGCAATGAAATACAGGGTGTTCCATTTGAAAAAATTGATGTTCGATTATGTGAGCCTTTCTTGCGCCCCTCGTATAAAATATAGTCATTCCTGAAGTTAGCACTCATAATGCGATATGATGTGGAATCATAATATTTTGAAAATTCCTATTGGTTCAGGAGATATTCAACTGTCCCAGTGGTCTAGGGACACCCTGTATATCTTCATTTTCACCACTCCCAGATTCAAGCTTATGAGTTATTTTTCATGATTCGTGATATGGAAACACATAACGCATTAATCATTTCTCCTCCTCTTACTATACCATCTGGATTGTCATTTTCAGGAACGATATGTTTTTACGCATACTCTACCTTCCCAGCATACATCGAATCATCTTTGACCGACTTTCAATTGTAATGTATTCATAAATATATACCATCAAAATATATAAATATCACTCAATATATGACATCAATAATCTGACGTGGTTCAAGTAGAGCGATATTTGCTTGCGATGAATTGACTATTAGGTATACCTACTCATTAGATTCAAGAATTTGAAGGGTTGCTATTTGTTATTCTTCATATTTTTGGGATGTCCCAAACTATCTCAACCAGGTTTTTGATCTGCTAGGCTGTATAATTTCATCAACATTTTCATTGACAGCGTTGATGTATTTTTGTCGTAACTTCCTAGTTTCCTTAGGACCCTGAGGTAAAATGAAAGTCCTGCAAGACGAAGCAGTCTCAATAGTATTGTCACCTGCAAAACAATGGATGTGTCAAGTGCTTACTCCCAACAGATAATTGATATGGAGTGAGGACAATGTTGGTGCCAGAATATATTCTTGTTGGACGCAAGAATTGATAGCTATGGTAACAGATGATACTCCGTCCACCACCACATGGGTGGATCTGTCTGAAAGAGACCTCGATAGAAGAAGAAATAGCAATCAGCTCCCTCAAGATGGGAATTTGTGAATAAGGCTTGTTGGCAAACACAGCAGATTCCCCATGTCTTTCCAATGAAGCTCGCCATACATATACATATGAATGATTTTGAAATATTGCGGTTTTGATTTGGATTTATGGTATGTAGGTAAGTAACTTCTTCAAAAACTCAAGATATTCTCTTGACGAAAGAAATATCTATGACATACTTTCATTTATTAGCAACATAATATCATGGACATTTTTCTTTTCGCATTATGGAAATCAGTTCAAGAGCATAAAAGTCATTACAGTAATGTATTCAGTTGAATCAACATTGGGAATCAAGGGAAGGTAACACGTGGATGCCATTTTCTCACTTTGATTCCTTTCCGTGCCTACATTATTAATATCATTAGCGGGAAGTTCAGGTCTTCGTTATTCAGCACCTCTATCACATTTCTGACAGGAATTTTCAATTAACTCTAACAAAGCTGTCTATAAATTCCCTGGTGTATTGACTTCCAACTGTAACGTTGATAATGACGTCACGTAGAACGATCTATTGACGATCCAGCCACAATTCAGAATCATGATTATATATTTGTTGTCGAATAAGGGATTTGCATGAGTGCATCTTGAATGATATCGATAACTTCAGATATAGATAGATATATTCAATAAAACACTGAGGCAGATTTGGGGCAAAATTGTTTGATTGACGATCGAAGGATCAACTTTTATCGACAATATTCGACATTATTTGTATAGCAAAAAGTAACTTCCCTGACCAGAATGTCGAACCTTCCATACATTATGAAGGCATCAATTTAATAGTGCATGGAATTCATGATTGAAGTTATGCGGAAGTTAATTATGTAAATCCTGAGGTCAAATTCTGTAAACAAGGATAATGTTCTAGTTGCTCAAACTGTTCACAAGTTGTAGAGAATTTGAGCTGCTTGAGGGTATTAGGGTATAATGAAAGATGTCATTAGGTATACCTAACTACTTATATGGATATACACTTGCACTTCCCAACAGTTTTTTTTTTTCACAGGTCGACGAATTACACATTTTTGAACTAACAAAAATCATATTTCTTACTCATTTCTACGGGCACAAATACTGTTTTCATAAAACACGTCAATTTTGTGTCAGGCTACTTTGTCAATCGGTTGCAGAAAAATGTATTCAACTGTTTGTCAAATTTTCATGAAAATGCTTTCTCCTGAATCATTCAATCAGTATTTCAGCAGGTCACTGATTATATCAAGAATATCCAGTTTTAGAAGAGAAATATGTACAATTGTGTGCATAAACGAGTTGTACAAGATTTTTATGGTGTAAACCTGCCTATGATGTTAAAAAGTAGTACACGTACACATTTGCGCGTTACATACAAAAATAGTTTGAATTCTGACACTACTTGTCAAAGTCGATTAGATTAATCAAGATTCACTAGCCTGACTCACAATAGCCTATAACTGCTGTATGACTTGTTTGTTCACACTAGGGTCCCTTGATGCAAACTGACGTATTTGTCATCTAATTTTTTTGACAGATCATAGCTCCTTTCTCTTTCGATCATCTAGTGACTTCGTGTATTGGCGTCCCTAACATGACATTGCTATCACGTCACATTCATAGGCGTTGAAAGAGATCTTACAAAATTTCAATTTCATACTTGATCTCAATACATCATTCAATTTTGTTTTGGAAGGATGGTAAAATGTGCTGCGTTAGGCTGTATCAATCAGTTAGATGGCAAATTTGAATTTGTCAGCTTTCCATTGAATGCAAATGAACTCAGAACATGGGAAGTAAAGTGACCGAATGGGAAAAATTGGTAAATGCATCAGCAAAATATTCGAGGAAACACTAATACGAAATCACATATTATACTTTCTCAATGTGCCTATAATTATACACTCCACAAGTTTTTGAATGCATTTTAGTAGAAACAGTTTTGATTAAAAGAAGAGGCATATGCCCTACCATTTAAAAAATTATACCTACATTCAGGAAATATTAAGTGTTCGTGAAAAACTGCAGAAATGATTCCCAACATGAATATATACAGTACACATGACATATGAGCACATTATTTTAAATACCTACATGAAATTTTTCACCATTTCTCAACCATAAGGCTTAGTCTGAAATCAAAACTCATTTTTTGTTAGGTAATGCCTAAGAAAAGTCCCATTTGGTGAAACGTATTGAACTTTCAGAAAAATTTGCTCACTGCCTCACCAACATTATGCTGGAGTTGGAAAATCAAAAATCGAAAATAATCATGATCATTTGGGTATAATAATTATGTAGAGTTGAATGAAAAATTACATGTGGATACGCCAATGTCCTCAATATAACCTAGAAAACAACAAATGTCAGAAATCTAGTGTTCATACCCAGAAATGAATAAAGATGGATCTATTTCACAAACACTTCACAGTGAGAGGAGACGAGGATCTGTCCGTACCCTGTTAAGATGACAAATACGTCAATTTACATCAAGGGATCATAGTGCACACATCAACTGTACCCTCGTATCGGCGCCTATGGATTTCCTTGTCTATTCTAGACTTATGCTGTCGACGCAGGTTTACAAAAAAAAAACAGAAGGCCAAAGTTGTAAGTGCTCACGTCTTTTTAATCAGATATGGAATAAATAATAATAAATAAGGGTCCATTTTTGGTGGTATGTTTATTGAAACAATCCCTTCATTGTGGAGTAGGTATATATCAGCCAATCAGCCTTAAGTAATGTATAGGCGAAAACTTTGCACCAACTGAGATCACAGTCAGTAAACAATCGTTTTGCCTTCTAGAGTATATAAAAATAATATGGAACATAGAAGCACAAACTAATGATTATTATTGATTATTGAAGTTTCTGTGTTTTTGCATCTTTTATTGAATTAATATTAATTTATCTTCATTTATTTTAGGTGGAGTTTATGTCATCGATGAATGTCAAATTTTCAAATACATCTCAGATATTTCATTCTTAGTTGAATTGCATGTTAAACACACCCTCTGAATTTGAAATATAAAAAATCTCTATACACTGCCTGCAAAGCAGCCAAACTTAGAATGTTTATTATTTTTTTATATTTTCTTGGAGCGCATGGATGATAGATACGAAATTACCTTCTTTATTTCAACTCGAATCGCCCTGTATAGTGATATTAAATTCAGTACTCACCATTCGACAATCAGCAAAAGTTTCGTGTTCCACATCGTTCTCGAGCCCGATCAGAAAACAGTGAGTTTCCAACTCCCGACGCGAACCGGCAGGAACTGAGCGTGGAGTTGCTGGAGTTGCGGGAGTTGCGGGAGTTGCGGGAGTTGCGAGATACGAGAGTTGCAAATGAGGAGATTGCGCTCCGGATTCAGTGTTGCCAACTTTCGGATTCTCGATTATGGTGCATACCAACAGATTCAAATTATGGTTCCAACAGCTTCAAATTATGGTGCATCTGGAACACTGTCCAAAACATTCTGAGCCTAAACAGAAGTCAGATCAGACAAGTGACGGGACTAATAACCGGTCACTGCCCCTTGAGGAAACATATGCATCAAATGGGCATCTATACAGACGAACCCATATGCAGACTATGCAATGAGGAGGAGGAAACTGCCACCCATGTAATATTGGAGTGCGAAGCACTAGCGCGTTGGAGATACAACCTTCTGGGAGCAGTAAAATCTCAAGAGGCCTTTCCAAAGAATGATTTGGTGAAGAGGCTGCTAAACCTTATCAAGGTAGCGAACCTGTTCACCTAAGTCAACAGCATGATCAGGAATACAATAGGCCCAAAGGCTGCAGTGTTTTGGGCTTCGAACCCTGACTGATCATTCTGCTATTAATCAATCAATCAATCAATGGTGCATCTCCTGATTTTATAGTATGCTATCATATTTCCCAAAAATATCCTGTGTAATAACAATGATAGATAGATTGAGAAGGAATATTCTCAGATATACAGGGTGATTCAAAAGTGAGCGGCATTCTTTCAGGGGCGTATTCCTTGCATGAAAATGAGGCAAGAAGTTTCGATTAATAAGGGTCCGAAAATGCTTCCTAAGGTAGCTACGCCCTTTTGAATAGGACACCTCGAAGACTTTTTCTCTATAACTTTGAAATCCTTCACAATAAATCAAGGAAAACTGGTGTACGACATATAAATATGATGGTAAATAAGACTCTGAATTCAAAATACCGAAATAAAATTCAGTGGCGTCACATACGGGGGAGGGTGAGTATAAAAACAACCATTCATCTTTTGATATTAAGGTTATTGTGAATTCGTTTGAAAACTATAAAATTCTAGAGTTCTTCACGTATAATACTGCTATTGTATTTCGAAGCAGCGTACCAATTAGGAGAAAATCGACTTTGAAAACTTTCTGAATTTCCGTACCCTTATTGAACTTTTTGCCTTATATTCATACTTTTGAATCACCCTGTATACATAATTGAATGAAAAATTGATATATATATATATATATATATATATATATATAACAGTGTGACCCGCTTCTAATGGAACCACCTCTGTATCTTACGTAATCGTTGGGTAAGGATACTGAAATTTGCTGGAGCGAGAGATATACCAAAAATGCACTCAAAGATAGAGTCAATCACGTGAGATACGGGGGTGCTTCCATAAAAAATGCGACAAAATTTTATTCTTCCGAACTGAATATTTTCCAGGAAAAATTTGAATAGTTAGTAAATTGGGCGTCCTGATTCCAAATCTGAAGTGATATTCGACCTATTTTGACTCCTAATATCATTTTCCGGAAATTGGGGTGGTTTCATGGCTGTTGGCGAGCAGTGTATATCACTGAAGATGACCCCACTTGGTCATAGAGTGCATTTTCGGTATATCTCTCGCTCCAGCAAATTTCAGGATCCTTACCCAACGGTTACGTAAGATACAGGGGTGGTTCCATTAGAAGTGGGTCACACTGTATATAAAGAAATACATCACATTTTCTATGTGATGAAAATATCAATTCTCTTTCGGTATATATTCAACAGAAAACAATTACTTTACTGGCTATATATTTATGCCACGACAAATATTGGTTTATATATATTGAACACACACGTTTGGAATTTGAAAATAATATTTGCTGATGTTGAGAATAAGCATCATCCTTCAGATAATAGTATGTATATGCATATATTATCATTCTGAATATTTTACAACTACTTTCGTGGCTATTTGCCATGCAAAAGGAGACGATAATGATCCTTTGAACAGGTATAATTCAATCTTCGACGAATCGACGTGGCAAATAGCCAGGAAAGTAGTTGTTTTCTGTTGAATATACCGAAACATAAATATTATTAACATCACATAGAGGATGCGAATTCCCAATGTATTTTTTCATATACAGTGTGTGCGATTTTAACCCGCAACATCTTCCTAATTTGGAACTTGTCGACCGATTTCCAAAAATAAAAGATTCATAATATACTACTTAATGAGTTCTATTCGGTTATGTGGAGAAATTTGAAATATTCAGATTTTCAAGGCCTACTTTTTATTTGTGAAAGGGTCAAAGTTTCGAAAACGACTATTAGGCATTTTTCCGACACAAGGAAGAGTTGGAACGGACGATCTCATATAGGATGTTAGTTATTCAATGGTGAATGTTCATATTTTTTATTTTTTGATACACCCTGTATCAGAACCTAAGGAGTTGATATATTCGGTGAAGTAGTCATTCAATGGAGGAACACATCGAATACATAGATACGAAGTTTCATCGTTGTAACTTCTACAGGAAAATCTCATAATATGACAAAAACTCCAACCAAAAATACTCTATTACTCACCATGCCGAAATTGTGATACGGATACCATAAGCATGGTACATTTGGCAACACTGTCGGAACTCCCAGATGCTGTCGAGACCGCGTGTCACCGGTTTTGGCTAGGTGGGCGTATATTGGTGGGAGCTCTGTTACAGAAGTGGGGTAAACAGTAAACAGCGTCTAGGGATGCCGTCAAAACATTTTCAGTGTTGCGACATTCGCACTAGTTTGTTACATCTTCTTTCAAAATATACGTCAATGGGCTTATATCACAAAAAAATGTTATTTCATAATTCGATAGAACCCACCCAAACTAGCTCACCACCGCAAACCGTTTCTTACTGTGAGCTCCCTACGTTTTATAAAAAATTATTGAAATCCCCGATTTTTCGGACCTCTGAAAACGAGGCGATGATGTGACGTCAAAACCCTAATACTGAAACAAGACTATTCCAGACAGAGATGAATGATACATGATTTTTGACAGAGTGAATAAGCGCGAGATCACAGTTGAAAGAATTTATATATCAGTCGCCTCAGTCTCCATCGGGCGTTTGGTATTTTCTCTCAACTATGGCGAGATGAGGTTTCTACTCTATTCTATTCTATAGCTATAACTATAAGCTATAACTAACTAATCTCACGACAGGAATGAATCACTTCCCACCTCGGTGTGTAATATACTATTCCTTCATATCGATCTATCGAAGCCAGACAGGAATTCTCTGAATCCGCATTTATTTTCTTATGTTTTTCTGTTTCTATTGAAGTAGGACTTTGTTGTTTGCATTCACACCCTCTACTTACTTTGAATTCGGAATCTTTTCAATTGAGACACATTTTCTTATCGCTTGAAGCGCCCGAAAGGAAATCCCTATAATATTCGGAGAACATCGTACGTACCTATAGGCAGAATAGGGAGAGTAGGTAGGTATAATTTTTTTTAACTTCCGGAGAATATAAGTTTTTGGCAATACTTCCATAGGTAATGAATTCCAGATCTTCGTCAAACGAGTTTCGATAAACTGCTGTTCGACATTAATATTTCGAGGTTTTTTTCATGTTCTGGTTCCTACGACAATGGATATCCTGTAATGTTCAGAGAACATCGTGAGAACCTAGAGAAATAAGATAGGAATTGGTATTCTTCTTAAATTTCTGGAGGTTATATGCCTCGGGAAACATCTCCCTTCGCAATGTGTTCAAAGGCCTCGCTGTTCGTTGAATGAACAAGTATTTGGAAAGAGATGTTCTGCAGGTCCCCAAAGTGACCACGAAGGGGTGCGAAGCCTCAACTCGACGGGTTAATCTCGCGGGGATTGTCAAGGAAAGAACCAATGTTGATATTTCAGAAGAGCATCGTCCATGAAGATATCTATAAAATAAAGTCAGATCGCCACTTTTCTACGGTGTTCCAGAGAAGTGAGTGAGTTTGTGAGCGAGGCATCACCCATGAAACGAATTGCCCATTTTTTGACAGAATCCAACAGTTTCAGGGTATGTTTAGGTGTTGACTGGGAGTGAAATAGCTCCTGGCCCGAAACAGAAGACCATGTATTTGGGATGCACTTTCAGCAATTGATCTCACGTGATTTTCCTAAGGAAGGTTATTGCTGATAATAATACCAAGCAACGAAATGGATGTCTTCAAAGGTATGGTTACTCCTGACAAGCTTATGTTTGGCACAGCGAGATCGGCTTCTCTTGAAAAAACGCATGCTTGTGTTTTGTTTGCATTGAAATCTACCAAGTTATTGGATCTCCATTCGAGAATTGGTGCCAAGTCCATATTTGTGTTGTCAACATTTCTTCCTCGTTCGAAGGCGGTATGGAGGGTACCATCCGCGAAGCTGTGTACTGGACATGAAGTTGCTTCTAAAAAATCGTTGATATGGAGTAAAAATAGTGTTAGTGCTAGAATTGACCTTACGGAACACCAGCATTCATGATAAGAGGGTCAGATGAGACTTCGTCGACAACGAAAGGATTTGCTGACTGGGCTTGTCGAGTTCGTCTGACTGATGGTACTGCTAGTAATATATAGATAATAATAGATAATAGATAATAGTAGAGATTTCTGAAGAAAATTTCTCGTGAAAGTATCTATATAAAAGTGAGAAGTCGCCGATTTGTCTAAGGTGTTCCAATGATGTCAAATAGTTAGTGGGTGTGGTATCACCCACCAGGCGAATAGCTCTCCTCTGGATGGAATCTAAGAGCATTAGCATTTCTTTGAGTGCTGATCCCCATATGTGGGCTTTATATGTGCTCTGCAGATCATGAGAATCTGTTGAGGTGTAAAGTAGCAGGAACAAAAATCCGACTTTTTGTGAAGCGCCTTAGCGATAGATCTGACATAATTCAAATGATTCACTACTGACACCTTTTTTTTCAAATTCACATTAGTTTTTTCTCGAATTCACCTTCTTCGA